GATCTCCAGACATTTCCCTAGTGCTTGATTTCTCTGTAAACCAAAAATGAATCCCTCTATTATGGTATCTCCATTCTTGTTATCATCTATTCTACCCATAACTCAACCTTTCTGCTCCCTCATGTCCTCTATATCCCTCCTCTTCTCCCCTTCTCATTCTCCTAGCTCCCTCCCCCCTCTTCCCGTGCTCCCAATTTGCTCAGGAGATCTTGACCCTTTCCCCTTCTCCAGGGGACCATGTATGTCTCTCTTAGGGTCCTCCTTGTTTATTGTTTATTAGCTTCTTTGGCAGTGTGGATTGTAGGCTGTTAATGCATTACTCTATGTCTAAAATCCACATATGAGTGAGTACATACCATGTTTGTCTTTTTGGGATTGGGTTACCTTGCTCAGAATGCTTTCTTCTAGTTCCATCCATTTTCCTGCAAATTTCAAGATTTCATTGTTTTTTTTTCCGCTGAGTAGTACTCCATTTTGTAAATGTACCACATTTTCTCTATCTATTCTTCGATTAAGGGGCATCTAGGCTGCTTCCAGTTTCTGGCTATTACAAATAGTGCAGCTATGAACATCGTTGAACAGATGTCTGTGTTGTATGAATGTACTTCTTTTGCGTATATGCCTAAGAGTGCAATTGCTGTGGTAGACTGACTCCCATTTTCTTGAGGAGTCACCATACTGATTTCCAAAGTGGCTGTACAAGTTGGCACTCCCACCAGCAGTGGTGAAGAGTTCCCCTTTCTCCACATCCTCTCCAGCATGAACTGTCATTGGTGTTTTTGATTTTGGCCATTCTGACAGGAGTAAGATGGTATCTCAGTGTTGTTTTGATTTGCATTTCCCTGATGACTAAGGATGTTGAACACTTTCTTATGTGTCTTTCAGCCATTTTAGATTCATCTATTGAGAATTGCCTATTTAGTTCTGTACCCCACTTTTTAAATGGATTGTTTGGTGTTTTGGAGACCAGCTTCTTGAGTTCTTTGTATATTTTGAAGATCAGCCCTCTGTCAGGGATAATCTTTCTAAATATTTTTATTCATGAGGTATATTTAAATGGGGCTCATGTTTAATTACAACTTAATATACTGCTTTAGAACTCAGGTTTAGACTTTTGAAAAATAATATTTTTTTACATTTTATACATTTTTTGTTTAAAAACTAACATGTAAAGTATTGAAAGCTTTGGTAAAATGGGTGGTCTCAATACTCATGGTTCAATGACAACCATCAGCATCCATTCTTCAGAGTCAGGAGCTGAGATTTATGCTTAATCATAACCCAGTATCTGGAGGAATAGCTTTGTTCAGTGAGTGTTGTGAAATAAAATGGTTGCATTTTTCATTATGCATATATGTATCAGTGTTCTCATGCATTGTGTTGTAAGAGTTTTCTACATAATTTTTTCTATTTACTATTTTGTTTTAAAAACCAGTGTTATTAGCTTCAGCCTGGCTAGTTGACAAAAGGGGAAACGATTTAACTAGCCAGAATAAACAAAGCCCCGATCTTTCCAGATTCAAAGTGCTTTCCCTCATTCTGTGAGGTTTAACTAAATGCTATATATCACAGAATTTCTTTGGGTACTATGGTGGACCTGTTATTGTTGTTTCATGTGGTGTTTTGATTGGCTGTCACTGTAGTTCCTATCTTTCTTCAAGGACACTGTCGAGAATTATAGACAATGCATAGCAAGTAAGACTTTGGGAAGTATCTCAAGGTTAACTGATAAAGGTATTAAAAATCTGGAGTCAGCTTAAATTGTCACATGAAATTTTTTATGTTGATCATGTATGAGGTAGGGGGTTCTCAGGAGAATATACAATTTAGGAATATGAATTTAGGGGGTCAAACTACCAAAGTACTCTTGGAATTAAGAACACAATTTGAAAGGAAACAATGTATTTGAAGGAAAGTTAGTCATATTGAAATATTCCTCATTCTCTAAGGCCAGCTACTAGTTTTGAGGTTGCTTTGGCATGCCTGACATACCTGGAAAAAAATCTTGTAGTTGCTACTGAGAATTTTCTTTGTAAATACCATTGTTTACAAATAATATAACTTTAGCTATACTGTCAACTACTTGGTTGTAAAGAAACTGTTTGAATAGCTATCCAATTATAAATTAATCTTCCCTTCAAATTGTTTGAATAGTTATCGAATTGTGCACTGATTTTCCCTTCCTGTAGAAGAGGGGAGTTGCCAGTACTTCAGGGAACTTCCACCAGCCACTTTTGCCATCCTTACTTATTATTTACTCACTTCATTTCTCTAGACTGTTTCCCCAATTTTGAGAGGTTAGCACTTGACACAGGAAAGTACATCCAGGGAGGGATGTGCTTAAACATCCCATGTTTTCAGTAGTCCTCGTTTTTCTATTGCTCATTGATTATGGAAACAGGAAAGAGGCACTGGGGAAGGTGTTTTAAAAAGAATTTAATAGCACTTCCAGTCTTTTAGAGATGAACATAAGATTGAAGACTAAAGAAAGAATGGGCATCGGTAGAATTAACAATACTAAAAAATGCCAAACCGTGTAAACTAGTTTCTAATTAAGAGGTTAAGAAGAATGTCTGTCTAATCAATTATAAGATTTCTGCAAGAATTTTAAGATCAGGAAAGAATCCCAGCACTCTGAATCAAGAGAATTACAGCAAGTTCAAGACCAGTCAAACCACAATAGTGAGTTTGATGACAGATTGGGTTCCAGTTCCAGAGTGAGACCCTGTATAATAAAAGAAAATAAAGATAGAGATTATAAGGGAAAAAACCACAACAAAATTGGTGATTAAATGGAAAGAGTGTGTTACTATATAAAAGCTCAAGCTGGTTTGGAATGTAGCCCTGGTAGCAATAGAACTAGATCTCTTTATGCCCCTGCATCCCTGGGGCTGGGAGTAAAGGCATGCATCACTATATCTGCTGTTGCTAAAACACTTTTAGACACATTTCTGGGAAGCAATAAGCAGAGTGTCATGGTGGCAGTCAAGTTAACTAGCTAAAGTGACATAATAATTTTTAACAGTACTCAAGGGGTGTCTGTTTGTATCCACTGGCTAAAGGGACACAAGAGCAGGTACAGTAGAAAAGCCCCATGTACCTTGAGAGATCCCTGTGCTGGCCAAAAATCCTATAAGCTGGAGCAATTATATCACTGGGTGAGGACAAGGGGCCTGGTCAGGTAGAGTTTTAACATTTGTCCATAAATTTCTTCATGTTTTTGGTCCCAAACAGTGGTTCAAATGAAGATTCTGGCTTTGGGAACTTGAACTTGGGCTTGGGTATGCATGGAATTTCTGTTGGACATGTGTCCCTGCCATCTGGTGCCATCCGCCTGCAGAGTGTGAGAATCCAGCAGAGCAACTCTGACTGGTACATTCCTATACAAGGTCGCAGATTTAGGTATGGGCACAGGGCTGGAAGTTAAGCACCCAAATGTCACTGGCTGCATGACGACAGTTTTTCCTCTCCCTTTGAAAACTATTTTCAGGAAGAGGACACGAGATGACAACGAGGAAGACAAACAGCATGCTCCTCATTCGAAGAGGAATAAGCAGGAACAGGCCTTCCAGGACCCTCACGCCGTAGAGGTAGGAACCACAGCAACACAGCTTCTCCATTTGACTCATTACCAGTCTGTGGCATTCATTTCCATCTCCACAGTGGCAAGAGAAACTTCCCAGATGCGCTCATGAAAGTCCCCTCCTTGGATGCAATGGTTTTGAGACAGCAGGATTTTAAATACTGTCATAAGCATGGTTTTACCACACCATACAACACAACACAGACAGGGCCAACAGAGGCTTTCCTGAGCACAGTTAGGAGGAATGGGCTTCCAGGAATTCCTCCACCTTGCAAAGGGGGAAGAATGGAACCCCATCTTCTATGATTAGGACAGAAATAAACTTGAAAAATGGAGAGGCATACTACTAGCTGCAAAGCTCTTGCTTTCTCCTAGAAGAACCTAAATGGGTAAGTTAAGCTGTCTGCTGGAATGTTTGGTAACCTGTTATATTTCTTTCCAGTGTTAGCAGTTTGTGGTTTGTGCTGGTTAGATTAGTGGTCAGCCTGACAGGACATGGAACTACGTGCGATGAGAATCTCTTTTTAATACTCTTTTGTATTCTTTGAAAATTCATGCATTGATACACTATTTCTTGATCATCTTCACCTGCAATCTCTCCCCCAACAAATATCTGTCTGGACTTCATATCTTCCTTTTGATTGCAGAAGTATGTACCTATTTAAGCCACTGTGTCCAGCTAGTTCTTCTGAAGAGCACGGAGCCTTGGGGTCATCCACTGATGACCAGGGTCCATGTCCCCAGAGAGAGGTGACTCTTCCTTCTCTACCAGCCATCAGCTGCCAATAGCAACTACACTAGAGGTACAGCCACAACAGCACCTCCCAGGAGATTATCCTGACTTTAGTGTGTTCAGGTCTTGTGCAGGTAACCACAACTGCCATGGGTTCACAGCTGCCACAGCCATACCATAGCCAGGGGACAGTAATTCACAGTGCTCCTCCCTGTAATGTGACTCTTACGTTCTTTCTGCCTCCTCATCTTCAATATTGCCTGAGCCTAATGTCAGGGGCACAGGGATGTAGATGTCGCATCTGTGGCTGAGCACTCACAGTTGCTTAGTGTCAGCACTTAGAATAGTTATGTGTTTCTACATTGACCACTACTCATTGCAACTACAAGTTCCTCAAACCAGTGTTGAGAGCAGTGCAAGCATATGCTTGCAAATGTAAATATATGGAAGGCAGTTGAAGAACATGATAACTTAGCAGAAGTACAGTAAGTCCTCCTGCAGTACTTCCAAGGAACTATGAGCCCACTAATAATAGGCTTTAATTATGTTTACAGGACCAGGCATACACTCACTCATGTGGAGCATGCCTCAGATCCAATGAGGAGGACAAATGGTTAGCCCTGGGAAGTGCAAGTATTAGAGCAGTGGGCTCAACATGCCTGGGAGGCCAGTATTAAACCATGCAGGGTCCAGTCATGGGTATGATCATTGATGGTGTTTCTCTCACAACAGCCAGCTTAACATCTTCTGGGTGCTATGAACATTAGCCTGCTGGGAGTGGTTCCTGATGACTTCAAGACTGATTTTCCAATGACCTGTAACAACAGCACATAGTGTCTCAGCTTGTTTTGTTGTGCAACCAAGAGCAGTGGCAAATCAACTTTATTATTTGGTCACATCTGGGGCTGTCGGGACAATAGGAAAGTAATCTTTGTGCAATGCTGGGATCTTTTCTTAATGACATATGGCTTGTGGCAATAAGATTCAGCAGCATCTTTGTTAAAAATAGCATGTGTTGCATGTGGAGAGATGGCTGAGTCATTAAGAGTACTGCTGCTCTTCCAGGAGACCTGGGTTCAAGTTCCAGTTCCACATGGCAGCTCTCAACTGTCTGTAATTCAAGTTCCAAGGCATCTGACACCTTCACACAGACATACGTGCAGACAAAACACCAGCACACATAGGATATATGATTAATTATAAAATAGCATGTATAGCCAGGTGTTGGTGGTGCAGCACTCGGGAGGTAGAGGCAGGCAGATCTCTGTGAGTTCGAGGCCAGCCTGGTCTCCAGAGCGAGTGCCAGGATAGGCTCCAAACCTACACAGAGAAACCCTGTCTCGAAAAACCAAAAACAAAACAAAAAAGCATGTATGAGCTCATTTTCCATCTGATGCATTGTCATAAAAGCTTCTTCACACACCCTTAGTTTTCCTTTGTATGTCCACATCCTCACTTCTTGTCTCCACTCCTTTCCCCTATTCTCACTTAAACATTTCTCCCCCAGTAAGCCCCTCACATTCTTCCTTATCCCATGTCTTCAAGCATCTCCTCTTACTATGTATTTTACTTGGGGACTAAGGTGATGGGTTCTCATGTAGTTCTTTCTGCACACTTAACTTTGGTTAACCCTTACCACAACCCCTCCTTGTACCATTCCCATCACTCCACAAACTGTTTGAACCTTTCTGACACCAGTATTTCTGCTCTCTACTTTCATTTACCAGTATTCTGCTATTTCCCATTCTTTCATGCAAACTTCCCCCAACCCAATGGCCTCTGTCTAGTTTCTTGATTTTCAGGTGGACTCCAGGATGAGCACACAATACAAAACTGGAAGCTAAGACCCACACAAGAGTGAAAAGATGTGGTGCTTGTCCTTTTGGGGGTGGGATGATAATTTTTTCTAGTTCAATTCATTGACTTCCAAATAATCTTACTGAGGAATTATTGAAATCATGTTGGGGTATGTCTGTGGGGGTCATCTTGATTAGTAGTAAATATGGAAAGACCCAGCCCATTGTGGGGGGTGACACTCCCTGGGCAATGTGTCCAAGATGTATAAGAGAAAATGAAAGCCAGCTACAAATAAATGATCAACAAGTAAGGATCCCTGTGCTTATTCTTTCTCTGCTCCTGACTGTAGGTGAGATGCTGCTCTTAAGGTCCTGATCTGACCCCTGGCAATAAGGGATGAAAACCTGGATCTGTAAGCCAAAGATACCATTTCCACCCTGATTTGGTTTGGTCAAGGTGTTTTCTCACAGCAACAGAAATGAAATGAGTAGGGGGCCATTTACATTCCTCTGGATTTCTTTGTATGATCTGCATGACAGAACTTCTTGAGGGAGACATTAGAGGGCTCTGAGTCTCTTATGGAGCCAGAGATATGTCATTAGTTTTGTTGTAAAAGTTTAGCAATGGGAATGCCTTCTGAATTGACCTTCTTTGAAGATACATTCATTGAATGTGTGTGTGTGGGGAGGAGAGGTTTGTCAAAGATGGCCTAATAGATTATTTTAAGATCCCTTGACAACAGAGCCTGCCAAAGTGTGTCAAGCACTCTCATATACATATTCAAGTTAGAATCTGAGTTGTTGATTGAAGATGAACAAGTCCACATGTTTCTCACAGGTGAGGCTTTTCTGGGCATTTTTGTTTGCTTTGTTTGTTCACATTACATTCCCCTCTTTCACACAGATGAGGTGATATGCTTTGTAGCACACTTTGAATTTTGTAGTTGTAAAACCACTGGCGTGTTCCAGTTTTACCTCCTGTTCTTCTGGAAGACTGAATTACCACCCCTCCCCACACCTGCACACAGAATTCCACACATGAGTGTCATTCATTCCCTTGCTCACTTGCAAGTGACAGTAACTCAACAGCCTGCTTCCCTGGGTGCCTTCTGACTCAAGAGAATGTGCACTGCTTGGGTGGGATCAGGGAAGGTGGGGCTGCCAGTGTAAATGTGAGGCGCCTTTGTCAGTTCATAGTCTGAAGACTTCAGTGGGTTTGGTTGGGCTGGTCAGTGTCAGTTAGTAAAGAACAAGTAATTCTGGGGTGCAGTAGATATCAAGGTTGAATTTTGTTGCACTGTTAGTGTTGAAGAAATGAGTGTCTCCAAGGTAAACAGGAATAGAATTGGAAGGAAAGCCAGAGTTGAAGGTAGAGACTCTAGAATTCACTTGTTCTCACCTTAGAAAGCGTTATTCAGTTGAAAGTCATGAATAAACGTGAATTGCCATTCAGTTTCAGAGATGATATTCCGTGCTAACACTCCTCCTTATCGCTCCTGTGTGGATTTTCCCAGCGTTTGTATCATTAGCCAACTGAGGCTCTGTTTCCAGCTACTGTGTTGCCCGGAGACCTGCCATATTTCTAGGTGCTGTCTTCCTTCTCACCTTTGATGCTAAGCTGCTGCCTGCATTCCCACGACCTTCTGTTTGACAGTTCCTTTCCAGAGCTGCTCACTGCACCTTACTTCCTACAGCTGTCCCTTTCTTTGTCATAGCCTATACTGGAGGACTCAATCTGGGGAACCTGCTGAACTCAAACACGGGAATGTTTAAATTGTCAGGTGCTGTCAGCAGTGGTTGGGTGTTCATGTGGATGTGCCCAGTGCTCCAGCGACTCTTTCCTCCTCCACTCTCTGGGCATCACTGGATGTATCTTTGCTTTTCTGGGTACATCATCAAGACCTGGGTGGCCTTTTTCTGATTACTATGTGTAACTTTGTAGGTGGCGTCTGTGCTCTTTGTCCTCCTTTTCCTTCCATTCATTAGTGTATCTATCTGGTTGGCTCAGTACAATTCTCAGCATGACACCCAAACTCTCCAGTGTTCTTACCATGTCTGTTCTTGCACGCTCCATGGCTGGAACTTGGGCCACAAACGGTCATCTTATCAGCATCTGTCTGCCCCTCCAAATCTTCCTCACTCTTTTTGAGCTCCTGTTCTCCCCAATAGTCACACTCTGTTTGTTAGTATTCCCCCTATCCTACACTGCCTGGTGCAGGTGACTTTCATTTCTTCTTTAATTGTTTATTTTATTATTTAAGATTATAATAGAATTATATCATTTTGTCCTTACCTTTGTCCATTGAAGCCCTTTCACATACCCTCCGAAGCTCACTATCAAATTTTTTGACCTCTTTTTTCTTTAATTGAGATCACACACACACACACACACACACAAAGAGAGAGAGAGAGAGAGAGAGAGAGAGAGAGAGAGAGACTCATTCAAAAATACAACTTATTCAGTGTCTCTAACATTAC